ATTTCTTTTGGCCAGTGTAAGATCTGTTCATTTCTCAGCAGTTTCTCCACAGTCAAATCAGTCCCTGCAGTCTCAGTGCTTCACTAAACAAATACTCCTGTAGTCTCCGCTAAGGCATCACGCTAACGCTAGGAGAGGAACTTCCTGTTATGTGAGAGTGGACTAAACACACAGAGTCTTTTTCAGTTCAGTTATCACCCCCTCCCTGCTTTAACAGGAAGCTGTTTTTCCCCCATATCCAATGCAGAGAGGAAACATCTGTAGCTTATTTCCAAACCCTAATACACACACACACACACACACACACACACACACACACACACACACACACACACACACACTCTCTCTCTCTCTTATGCCAGTGAATCCGTTTACCAAGTAGAAATACAGTTAAAATCTTAATTAACAGGCGTCTGTGTGACAGGTAAAGAAAAATGGACAAAAGCCCCATGAAAATGACACTGAAAAGCGAGACAAGCCACAAGAGGTGTCCACCAATCACAGCAGGATCACCAGTCATGTGACTGACCAAAAAACACCCAGCCATTTGTGGAGGAAGTGAGAGTGAGTGAGTGTGTGCATGTTTGCCTTGGCGTTTGTGTGTCTGTGCACATCTGTCGGTCTATATTGTGTGTATTTGTCTGTGTGTGTTTGTGTGTGTGTCTTTATGTGCCTGTGTACCACTGTTTGTCTGTGTGTGCTTGTATCTGTCTTTTTATTTGTATCTTTGTGTGTGTGTTTGTCTTTATATGTGCCTGTGTTCGTCTGGGTGTCTGTCTGTGTGGTTGTATCAGCTGTCTATATATGTTTTTGTTTATATATCTGTGTGTATGTGTGTGGCCACTCACCGGCCACTTTATTAGGTACACCTTACTTGTACCAGGTTCGACCCCTTTTGCCTTCAGGACTGCTTTAGTCCTTCATGGCATTGATTCAACAAGGTACTGGAAATATTCCTCAGAGATTTTTATCCATATTGACATGATAGCATCACACAGTTGCTGCAGATTTGTCAATTTTGTGAATCTCCTATTCCACCACATCCCAAAGGTGCTCTATTGGATTGAGATCTGGTGACTGTGTAGGTCATTTAAGTACAGTGAAGTCGTTGGCATGTTCAAGGGACCAGTCTGAGATGATTTACACTTTATGACATGTTATCCTGCTGGAAGTATCAGAAGATGGGTACACTGTGCTCAAAGGGATGGACATGGTCAGCAACAATACTCAGGTAGGCTGTGGCGTAGACACAATGCTCAATTGGTACTAATGAGCCTAAAGTGTGCCAAAACATATCCCCCACACCATTACACCACCAGCAGCATGAACCGTTGATGCAAGGCAGGATGGATCCATGCTTTCATGCTGTTGATGCCAAATTCTGACCCGAGCATCTGAATGTTGCAGCAGAAATGGAGACTCATCAGACCAGGCAACGTTGTTCCAATCTTCTATTGCCCAATATTGGTGAGCCGGTGTGAATTGTAGCCTCAGTTTCCTGTTCTTAGCTGACAGGAGTGGCACCCAGTGTGGTCTTCTGCTGCTGTAGCCAATCCGCCTCAAGGTTGGACGTGTTGTGTGTTCACAGATGCTCTTCTGCAGACCTCGGTTGCACTAAGTGGTTATTTTAGTTACTGTTGCCATTCTATCGGCTGGAACCAGCCTGGCCATTCTCCTCTGACCTCTGGCATCAACAGGGCATGTGCACCCACAGAACTGCCGCTCACTGGATATTTTCCCTTATTCAGAGCATTCTCTGTAAACCCTAGAGATGGTTGTGCGTGAAAATCCCAGTAGATCAGCAGTTTCTGAAATACTCAGACCAGCCTGTCTGGCAACAACAACCACGCCACGTTCAAAGTCACCTAAATCAGCTTTCCTCCTCATTCTGATGCTCGCTTTGAACTGCACCAGATCGTCTTGACCATTTCTACATGCCTAAACGCATTGAGTTGCTGCAAAGTGATTGGCTGATAAGAAATTTGAGTTAACAAGCAGTTGGACAGGTGCACCTAATAAAGTAACCGGTAAGTGTACATCTTTTTACATGTGCTTGTGTTCTTCTGTCTGTCTGTGTGTGTGCATCTACTGCCTATATTTGTTTTTGTTCAGATATCTGTCTGTGTGTGTGTCTACATGTTTGTGTCTATATGTTTCTGTGTGTGTGTCTACATGTATGTGTGTGTTTTTGTGTCTGTGTACAGGTTGATGTGGTTTACAGAGACCCAAAAGTGCATGATAACATAGGCCCAACTTAGTTGTACTCTGTCAAGTGTATGTGTTTTACAGGGACACACCTCATGTCCTTGTAATTCAAAACACTAAGAAATCATACTAAGTCCTTTAAAATCATAATTTGCGACAGGTTTCCAGTGAGAATTGGATTTAGAGGTGAGGTATGCAATATAACAAGCATTTTTACTGTATAAAACACTTTACACCTATGAAGTGTCCCTGTAAACCATACATACAAGTGTGTGTGTGTGTATGTGTTCAATAGTAGAAGTGCACATCACAAGCTGTCACTACTCTAGTCAATTCAGTGGTTACCTTTAATGGTTTCCTGTTTCCTAGTGGTGTTTACAGTAAAGACCGGACCCTCCCCTCAAACAAGAGAGATGAGTGCAAATATACAGTCTTTTTGCATGCGCACACACACACGCACACACATACACATGCATGCTCTCCCTCCCCTGGGCCAGAACAGGAAGTATCCACAGGATTTCCCCTCTCGCTCACATGAGGACTGAAACACGACACCAAACACAAACACACACACACACTCACGAAACAGACAAGCAAATCACTTTCCACCAAAATAAATACAGCCCATCTCTCGGCCACAATCAGACTGCTCTGTCTTATACTGTAGGTGAACGTCTGTACCTGAAAGAGTGAGCTGTGTCCCTGTAGTCTGGCGGGGCTGAGGGGGGCCACGGGACTCAGGCTGCTCCAGAAATGAATGGAGGACAGGAGAGGACTGGGCGTCAACAGCAAACCGGAGGGAGTCTAGAGAGGGAGAGAGAGGGCAGAATTGTGAAACGGGGGAACGGGAACATGAGATGTTATTTGTATTAGTCACTGAAGTCAGGCATCACAAAATCCCAATGTCTTTCAGGAAGACGAGTGTGAGTCTCAACAGGTCCAGGCACGTCTGTGTTGCGAGAGCATGTGAAGCCTGTCATGCAGAAGAGCCGAGCACCCCTTCAAAATGATTCACAGGTGACTTTAACTCAACGGGACGGGTTTAGTGTTACTGGTATGTGTTGTGGAGACATTTGTCCTGGACACTTGATTGATCAGTCCGAGCAGAGGCAGGATTTTGCTCAATCTGGCGTTATGAAATCACTGTCTGTCTAGCGTTTAATGCAACCGTTTGCCCCAAATTACACTTCTCCCATGTGCTTGACATCCTGTCATTCCTGTTCATCTGCTATTGATAAATCTCCCAGCTCAACATTGTTGATGGAGAATCCAGAGTTTCTCAAAGTCCGTAAAGGCACCATAAAACAAGGGCTACATGCACAGCTAGTGTTTTTTCCCTACCAATAAATGTCCGGTGACTATGTGACTAATTTCAGTTTCATATGGTTCCTTTTACAGCACCGATGTTGCAATGTGATTAAAATATATTCAGTTAAACAGAGTTAAGCATTCATTTAGATGTTCAGGCGTAAAACGAGATGAAAAGCCGTTTAAATGCAAGCACCATCAGGAGCAGGAGTATTTCCCATTGAAAATACTGTGGTAAAATTCATTTTCATATATTGCGTGGGACAATAGAATTTAATGCAGTGCTTCTTGTACATTCTGAGACCCTCTTTGTATCGTATAGCAATTAAGCTGTGAAGATCATTGATTATTTAAGAAAACAGACCTTAAACACAGTGATTTTGTAACAGCATAGAGTTCATTGGAAGCGGTTGAATTGCATAAACCCTATTGGAATTATTTTGGTAATGCTGGCTGCAAGTCTCTTCATGTTCTGATAGCAATCATTAAATTAAGCAGACATGTCCAAGCTCGGTCCAGGAGGGCTGGTGTCCTGCAAAGTTTAGTCCAACCCCAATCAGACACACCTGGGCTAGTTAATCAAGCTCTTACTAGGCTTTCTAGAAACGTCCTTGGAGGTGTGTTTATGCAAGTTGGAGCTAAAATCTGCAGGACACCGGCCCTCCAGGACTGAGTTTGGACACCCCTGAATTAAGCAGTTTACATGTATTTATGTGTATTTTAATATACTGCGGAAGCTGTAGGATGAAGAAAAGTTTGTCCAATCAAAACGTTCGGTCCGAACTTTACGATTGGCTGTTCTAAATATGGCCTGTCACAACATGTATTGCATAGTTCAGTTCAATTGCAGGTAAACACCAACAACCTTATTTTTTTAAGTTTTAAAGTAGTAAATTATAGTTACTTCATCTGTTATAAAGCTTGTATTTGTATTGTGGTGTTTTGTAGTGAGGTTGTCTAGTGGGCATAAAAGTGTTCAAGGCTTTAGTCGTGATTTGCCAGGTGGGACTTTCAGTGCTATCAGGCTAACGTTAGCATTTTCCAAGATCTGCTATTGCACCTTTAACATTATCTTCTATGGACAGTTTTGTCTTTTTCATATAAAACCGTAGACAATATCTTTTAAACGGCAAAAAGGCATCATGAAATGAGTCCACATTAAATTTAGTTGATCCTATGCTCAACTCCTCATCCTATTCAAAATCTGTTGAACTTTGTTTTCTGTGGGCATGTCTCCTAGTTTGTCTTTCCCATACAACTAGATGGCGGCTTTTGTCAAACTCCAAACATAGAGCGTACAACGAGTCCCAAGTTAAACTTCTGTCAAACTGCTCAACATCATATGATTCACCTGCTTAACTTTGTCTTCAGTGGTCAAATGACACAGTACAACAACGTGAATGGTGATTAAGGGTTGTCAATCCCCAAAAAAGTCACAATTAAGTGAAGAAGTCCAAATTAGTCCATGTGACTTCCATTTGCATGTAATCCCTGATGACATTTTTTGGACTTTCAAGAATTCACACTTGGCTGATGATTGATTATAAAGCTTGTTTGGCATGCTGTCCTGAAAGAGATCCTCGAGTTTGGGGCTCCCTCCCGTTTGCAAGGCGAGAGGGAAGTTTGAGCTCAGGTAGATCTGGAGAACTCCCTTGCTGTAGTAGCTAATGAACAAATAGTGATAGATAGTTAGAGATAACTACTTCCTAGGAGCATGTCTATGGTGGCGATTTGGATTAGTCAATTAACTTAAGTTGCAAGTGTTTGGACGGTGAGAGAAAACCAGGGAACCCAGGGTAAACCCACGTGAGCACGGGGAGAATGTGTAAACTCGGCTGGCTTGGTAAGGACTTGAACCAGTGACGTTCTTGCTGCGAGGTAACAGTGCTAACCACTGCGCCACCCATCTAGAAAAGGAGGAGGAATAGGGATGGAAGGGGGGATTCTTCGAAACGAAGATGGCTGTTATATGGAACTTAGGGTATTTATAGTGGCTTAGGAATCGTCTGATTGGTGAATCATAAACTGTATAATGCAGGATCCGCCGCAAGCAATTGATAAGCACAAGATCCTCTCGAAATTGGTTCATAAATAAACTTCACTTAACAAACAGGTTAACAACTATGTCCATTTGGCACAATAATTAAAGCTTACGATTTTAACATGTATGCTAGCTAGGGCACGAGTACACAATGTTATGCATAATCAAATCAGCATAGTAGACAGTCCAACCTGTAGTGGGGCTGTGTCTGATATTGCATACTGAAAGCTACAGTATATTGAATAACCGTGGACTGCTAAAACAGTATGTAGAACACAAATGTAACCCAAATGATATATCGATTTGCCCTACCATGTCAGATTGTCCTTCCTTCAATTTAAAAAATAGATGGTGCATCTAGATGAAGAAATGTGCTAGCCATCAAATGCTATCAGCGTGATTTTGATGTGATGTGTTATTTAAGGTTGCAATATTGCCCTAAAGCAGGTCTGTGTGTTTAGCATTCAGTGTACAGATGATTAACAGGTCTGTGTGCCACTTCAGATTTGGTTTCTGTGCAAACTTTTGCTGTGTAAAGATGCTTTTAGAAGCATTATGGATATAGTTTTGCTAGCACAGTCTGATGTGTGGGATAAAATGTCAGGACACCAGGGATACCAGCTTCATTTGCAACACTGTATAGTCTCTAATGGGATGCTAAAGTGTCCATTGTGTGTGTATAAAACAGAATCTCGCAAGTAGGGACTTTTCATCTACTGTTTTACAACTACTATGAATTCGGATCTACTTTTTTGCAGCCAATGTGAAGGAAAGCATTGTACTGGGTATGCAAGAAAGAAACACACCTCCACATTGATGAAAGCTTGTATTGAGAGTTAAGATATATCTGCAAACTTTAGTACTTGAGTATTATTCTAGAGGGAAATGCAATTCTAGTGCACATTGACAACTGAAAGGCTGTGCATTTGTGTTGGTATCTGTTTCAAAAAGGAGAGTCCCATGCATTTGGATTGACACAAGGGGTGTATAAACAGTGACAGCACATAAATATTAGCTTGGACTGTCTCTTTAAAAGAGAAACTCCATGAGCATGTAGCTTCCCATGGGTCATGGACTTTGGATCACCAGGTTGTGGCTGTGGGGCAGCATGTGAAATCAATTTCTGCCTCTCGCTCTGTTTTTCTCTGTCCTGTGTCACTGTGCGAGATTTCGGACATATGGCTTTACTTACAGGTCTCTCTTCTCTCGCTTATGCCCTTCTGTCTGTCTTTTCCCTCTTCCCGTCTCACCTCTTGCTAAAATCCCGCACATTTCTCCCTCCCCGCCCAGTAAAGAGCGAAAGGTCTCACGGAATAGCTGTTTTACCAGTATAGGTGTGTGTCCTGTCTATTTGTTACTCATTGAACGTCTATAAACAGTGCCGGAGAGGATGTTTTTGTGTTCCTAAATGTAAAAAGCTGCCCACAACAGAATGAAACCGGATTCGAAAGCTCTACTTAGGCAGAAACTCTGCGCGACACAAACTAGGGCAAAATTAGCATCTTGCTAAGCTTCATGATACACTCCACCAAGCACAAAAACTCATAGCACGCACTTACTTTGATAATGTCTTTATAGGCAACTCTTTGGGGTTTTGGAACAGATATGTTAAAGGGAAGTCATTTAATCAACCTTTACTCGTTTCAAACCATTGAGTTTCTTTGTTCTGTTACACCGTGCCCTAACTCAATGGGACTCAACAGGACGCTGTGACACACGATAAAAGGTTTCTATTCTATCTTAAAAAGGAGGTTTTGTCCTAACTATCTGTGAAGTGCAAAATTTATAACATAAACTACTATGACAGGTTCTCAATCTCTGGCCCGGAGGTCTGGTGTCCTGTAGATTTGAGCTCCAACCCCAATCAGACACACCTGGGCTAGCTAATCAAGCTCTTACTAGGCTTTCTAGAAACATCCTTGCAGGTGTGTTGAGGCAAGTTGGAGCTACAGGACATTGGACCTCCACTGTACTATGATGAAGATTATTACCTGAGGTACTGAATATGTGCTTTATTTACTGTTGAATACTACTGTGAGTTTGAATAACATTTTAGTTTACCTCAGATCTTGACAATCAAATAACTAGCAAACAAAGAGTTAGAAAATGAACATTAGAACTGTGACTCAGTGTAAACTAACAAGTATCAGTCATTGAGCATGTACATTTAATAATGTTAAAGAGGTTTAATATGTATTTATTCGATTATAAACCTTATCTGGGAGTTGGGAGTGCGGTGCACTATTCTGTGCTTCTGAATGTCTATAGTTTTTAAGTTTTGTTGTTGTGTCTGGTGCAGCCAAGTTGCTTTTCAGTGAAATCTTGTCATGTTGTGTGAAGTTAGCAGACGGTGTAAAAAATAATATATTTTTATATATAAAAAAAAAGCTGTAAACCTGTAACAACTGACCTCCATAGCATTTGTTTTTACTTCAATTTTCAGCATTTTTTTAAATATCTTCTTTTGGTTTCAACATGAAAAAGAAACTCAAAGATTCGGTACATCTGAGAGAGACTAAATAGTGAGTAAACTTTAATTTTTGGGTGAATGATCTCTTTAAGTTGTAAAAACACATGTAGATGTGGCAGTTTACCTGTGCAGCTTTGTTTGCAACACTGTATAATCTATAATGGGATAGTAAAGTGTCCAGGGACACAAGTTCGCTAATCCAGGGACTTTACATCTACTGTTTTATGAATACTTTGAATTCAGATAAGCTTTTCTGCTCAGAGGTGGGTAGAGGATCCAAAATCCATACTTTAAAGTAAAAGTACAAGTACTTGCGGAAATTTTTACTCAAGTAAAAGTAACAATCTTAAATGTTATTTGAGTAAAAGTAAAAAAGTGTCTAATGAGCAAATTACTTAAGTAAATAGTTACTAGTTACTTTTAATTCTTCGAATTAACCTGGTTATAATGTCACTTGAAAAATATTTAGTATCTTGAAAAATATCTATTCAAGTATTATTTACTGTCATCATGGTAAAGATAAAAGAAATCAGTTATTAAAACTATAGATGTGTGTTGATAAAATCTTCTTTCTGTTAATAATATAATATGTATATCATTTTTGTTAAAAAATAATAATTTAATGTTATATTTTTAATGGTTAAATGACTAATATGTGCAGGGCTAATCAGTCATTCCATTAAACAGCAGTTTCTTTAGTTATCCCATAGTTACCATTAATAAGGTTCAAATTGGAATAATTTTGCCACTTACCACTACGTGTTTTTCAGGTGGGATGTCATTCCAACACAGTCTCACGGCAATTTGTAACTTTTTGATTTAGTGACTAATTCGTATAAATTCGTACAATTTAGTGCGATATGCTCATCACCCAATGACGGTTGGGTGCCACGCCTCCTTTTTAAAATCGTACATTTTCTTACGACTGAACTCATATAAACTCATACAAATTATCCACTAAACTGACAAAACGCAAAATACTTACATTTCCCTGTGAGATCAGGCTGGACATTCATGTATATGTTGCAATGTCAGTTTGATGCGTGCATCGCATTATGAAACTATTCTTGTTGGAGTAAAAACAGAGACTGAACTTGAGGCCGGGTGATCTGGTCCGATAAACTCACTGCACAGACAGCGTGACCATCCTTCTCAAAACCGCAGATGGCAACATTGGCGGGACCACAGTATAAACTCTCACGTCTTCCTAGACTTCAGCCATTATTCCAACAGGCGCGCGCTCTAACCGAAAGCGGGAGATGCGTCTCCATAGCAACCTCCAAACCTTTTCAAAGCTGCGCCTTGTGATATTTGCAAACAAAACATATGGATCATATTTATTATCATTTGACAGTAACGGAGAAACGCCGCCAAATGTAGCGAAGTAACAGCAATGATTTTTCTCTAACAATTTACTTAAAAGTACACATTTAAATGTACTCAAAAAGTACTCGTTACCCAATAATTTTACTCAAGTAAATGTAATGAAGTAAATGTAACCCCTTACCACACACCTCTGCACCTGCTGCATAGTCTGTATTTTTTTAATGCAACCAATGTGAAAGAATAGCACTGTACTTGTTATGCAGGAACAAAAACAGATCTCCACATTAACAAAAGCTTATGTTGAGAGTTAAGATATACCTGCAACAAAAACTTAAAGTTTTGAAACATTTAAGGGAGACTAAATAGTGAGTACATATTTATTTTTGGGTGAACTATCTCTTTAAGTTATAAAAACAGATGTAGATGTGTTCGATTGAGTTACCTGTGCAGTGAAAAAGGCTGGCGTAAGGGACCCTGAGGGCAGTGCTGGGCTGTTGAGGGCGATGGAGCCCAAGTCACTTCCTGAAAGCAGTATTGAAGGGGCGGAGATTTCCAGCCCTTTGGGTTTCCGGGCTTTCGGAGGCAGTCTGTTGCTACTGGTCCTCCTCTCGAGGGGCGAAGCCTGATTCTGGGCTCGCTCCCTGTGGCTGGAAGATAAATTTAAAGGCTGAGCGCTGGGCTCTGATTCGTCTATGCGAGCCTCTGGGCTCTGCCCATGTCGCAGCGTGTAGACAGGGCTATGGGAAGGAGAGGGGCTTCGGGAAGAGCACGGGGAGGATTTGGAAGTGAAGAAGACTTCTCCGGATGAAGGGGGAGGCGAGGAAGCAAGGGGAATGGCTTTCTCTGATCGATTAGTGACGAATCGAATCACCGTTTGTCCCTCCTCCCCTCGCTCGCACCCTCGCTGGTTCTCGACTTTGATTGGACGCAGCAGTGGAGGCGGGTTTTGAAGGGAGCTGACTGTGAAAGACGAGTACAGACCCGAGTGAAGATACTCGTTCCTACAGGCGGGGCTTCGCAGCGAAGACAGCGACAGTTTTGGAGACTCCTCCCCCTCGCCGCAGTCTGACTCCACATCCTGTAACATGACGCCCCCTGCGACGTGACCCCCATCCCGACCGAGCTCCACTGCTTGGGGATCCATCTTCAGGATATCAGGGAATGAGACGAACTTGTACACAAACTTCTGACCAATCACCTTCTTGATGATGTTCTGTTAAAGAAAGAGGATGATTAATTAGTTACTTTTTTATGTTTTGCTAAATTGCTAGACAATTTACATGATCTCATCTGTATATTGCCTGAATTTTTTCATGCACCACTAGCTAGGATTTCATCCTGAGATGCAAATTAAGACTTACGAAGCCACTGTGAGAGTGTTTTCTTATATATTAAATTTTTAGGTCCTCAGAAGACGAAATGCAATGAGCGCACAATGACTTTTAATGATGCTTTTTAGGAACAAGACAGTTCAAGATAAGTAATGCACTTTAAACCACTTTAATAATAGACTTTGACTTAGGGATTTTAAAATGGCCAAAACAATATTTCAGATGCTTTACCATGTTGTCGGTCTGCTGAGTTGTCCATTAATGCCATCCTATTTTTATCATAACACTATTTGTTTAATAAAAATTACAAAATCTTTTTGATGCTAATTAGGGGCTGCACAATATTGGAAAAATCTGACATTGCAAGATTTTATTCAGCTGCAATTTATATTGCGACATGGCCACAATTTCAGCACCAACTTGAATAGCTCTATTTAAAATGAATTCATTCATTTAGATTGATTGGAATAATCTTGTAAACAAGCGAATCAAAGAAGTTGCATGAATAAATAAATAAGATAAAGCAAAGATAAAAGTGAAATAAGTAGTCGGATGTTTAATTACACTAATACGATACAATATCATGATATTTTACCACCGATGATGAGAGATCACGATATCAGCGATATATCACAAGAAAACCATCCGCACGATATCATGATATTTGTAAATGAATTCAAAATGCTTTAAGATGTGTTTCTTTTAATAACAGCACAAATATTTCTTAGAATTGGGCATGTTCTCCGTGCGTTCGTGTGGGTTTCCTCCGGGTGCTCTGGTTTCCCTCACAGTCCAAAGACATGCGGTACAGGTGAATTGGGTTGTCTAAAAGCTAAAATTGTTTCAAGCTAAAATTGTCCATAGTGTATAAGTTTGAATGAGTGTGTATGGATGTTTCCCAGGGATGGGTTGCAGCTGGAAGGGCATATGCTGCATGTGTTGGATAAGTTGGTGGTTCATTCCGCTGTGGCAACCTCGATGCTGAAACGATATATATTGTGCAGCCCTAATGCTGATGCTGGAATTGATTTGATTTATTTTCGAGCAGAAATATCCTACATAAAATATCATTAACAAAAAATACATTTCAACATGGTTGAGAATGGAGTGGGATGTGGGATGAAGCACAAGCTTATCCCAATTTATTTGGTAAACGTGTGTACACTGAAAAAAGTGTTGCATGCAGAATTGTTGCAAACAATTTATTTGTGTTGAATTTAAACAAACAAATTAAGTTCAATAATGTTCAACTTAATTTGTTTGTTTAAATTCAACACAAATAATTTGTTTACAACCACTTAACGTAAAAAATGTTAGTAAATCCAAGGAATCATCTTTGAATAATTTTTTTCAGTGTAGTTTGTCCATTTTTTTTAATGGATAAAACATTTATCCTTCTTAGCTGTGCATTTTTTATGTGTATTGTCAAAATTGATGCACATCTTGGCATTTCCATTAAACGTTTTGTATATAGGAGATGAATGGAAGCATAGCTAATGACAATCAAGTTTAGGGGTCGACACTCATGCTTGCATTGCCTTAAAAGAGTCACTTCCTCTATTATAATTGGATATTGTTATGTAATAGTGAAATGGCAGCTTGTAATAGTAACCTTGTCATAGTAGTAGCGTAGCGCTCGGCTAAGTTTGTCGTAGTTCATGTTGGTCTTGTTTTTGCGCAGGCCCCAGAGTTTGGCGACTTCTTCTGACTTCAGCAGCTTGAACTCGCCGTCGTTGGACGTCCAGCAAATCAGGTGCTTATGGCTCTGATCCAGCAGTAACTGCAGCAGAAACTGCCACAGCGTGATAGCACTCTCCATATCTGCCAGACGAGAGAGGTAAAATTATTAACACAAACAGTGCATCAGTCTCTCAAGGGACATATATAGAGTAAAAGTCAGAATTATTAGCCCTCTTAAATTATTAGCCCCAAATATGACCCCACCAATTTCTGTTTAACGGAGAGAAGATATTTTCAACACATTTCTAATAATATTAGTCTTTAATAACTCATCTCTAATAACTGATTTTTTTATCTTTGTCATGATGGCATTAAATAATATTTGACTAGATATTTTTCAAGACACTTTTATACAGCTTAAAGTGACATTTAAAGACATTTAAAGTTTGGGTAATTAGGTAAGTCATTGTATAATGATGGTTTGTTTAGTAGATGATTGAAAAAAATATAGCTTAAAGGGGCTAATAATTGACCTTAAAATGGTGATTAAAAAATTAAAAACTGCTTTTATTCTAGCCGAATTAAAACAAGTAAGACTTTCTCCAGAAGAAAAAAATATTACAGGAAATACTGTGAAAAAAATCCTTGCTCTGTTAATCATCATTTAGAAAATATTTGAAAAAGAAGCAAAAAATTGTGCTTTATATAAACTGTATGTATATAAAATACTAAAATGACTGATTTTATAATTGCTTTTCTTAAGACTTCTTAAAACGTAAGGAATTAATTGCTTCAATTTTTTTTGTTTTGCTGTGGAACTACACAAAAACCTTGTAAAATTGTACTTTTTTTGATCTCAAGAACCATTAGACTGAAAAATCCTGCAAGAACTGGTGTATTTACATTTTAGTAATCATAGGATGACTGATATTCCTCTACAAAATGAGTTTTCTGCCTTGCAAACAATACCAACAATTCAAGTACCTCCTTAATACAATGACCTAATACAAGTACCTTTTCTCTAATACAAGTACCTTCTCAATACAGATCTCCAGACCTTGTCAAGCTCAAATTATACTTCAGTTTTTTTGAGTATACCAGGGTACTAAATGAGTCTGTTTATTGCTTTATGCTTTCTGGGATTACATAAAATAGTTCTAATTTAAAAGCAAAAACACCATTCATTTTTTCATCTATACGGAGGTTTACACAACAATGATGCTCCAAAAATAGAGATATTTTTTCCTGTGTTTATCTAAAGATTGAACACATAATCAGATCAATAAAATAGTAGATTTTGTAGCCTATAACAAACTGTATCGTTTTCAAAACTCAGTGGTTAGCACTGTCGCCTCATCGCAAAAAGGTCGCTGATTCGTGTCCCAGCTAGACCAGTTGGCATTGCTGTGTGGAGTTGGCATGTTCTCCCCATGGGGGTTTCCTCGGGTGCTCCGGTCTAAAGACAAGTGGTATAGGTGAATAGGATTAACTAAATTGGACGTAGTGTGTAAATGTAAGGTGTATAGGTGTTTCCCTGTACTAGGTCTGCTGTATAAAACATATGCTGGAATAGTTGGCGGTTCATTCCGCAGTGGCGACCCCTGATAAATAAGAGACTAAGCTGAAGGAAAATGAATTAAAAGGATTAAAACATTGATGAACATGTCTTGAATTTTGTAATAGCTGCCACAATGACATCTTAAAAAGCTTTTGTTTCATATAAGCAATATGTATCTATGTGATTTCTGAGTTAATTTCATAATAGTATCCCATTTAAATGAGCCAGAATGACACTTTGTGCGCTGCATGTTTCTCAGCCAAGCAGAGGTGGCATGAGGACACTTTTAATGAGCTTAACAAGCTTTAAAGATCTGAAGCAAGATCCTGTGGTGCTACGCCAAATATACTGCAGTTAGTGACCTTGCATCTCATTTCAATTGATCTGATAATCCTTCCAGAAGAGATTTAATGTTCTTTCTAAAAAAAATAAAACTAAAATCTTAAGCATCCATGCAGGTTTCTAAGCGGAAGTGGTGAATAGGGAGAGGCTGAGGCATCAGTTGAAAAACGTGGCCACATTAAAGAAAGCCGCTTTCGTTTTGTGCTCCTGAATCCATGCTCTCCCTTTAATTTCCCTTTTCCCTCCGCGCTCCTCACAGAAAAAAAAAACGTCATTCCTGGGTGCCCTCCCACAAACTCTACAAGCATTTCCTGTTCTGTTGTACATTAACGCACAGGCTCATAAACAACAAAGGACTATCAGTCAGAAAGAGTGGTTCACAAACAAGCAGCATCGACCGAGCCGCTGACCTCTCTAGGATGGAGGTGTCCGCTCAAAGATGGTCAAACTAGCAGGGTAAACATGGAGTTTGTTCACATGAATTAAAGGAAGCGGATAGAGATATGTGGGTTAAGGAGAATCCAAAGGCCACAACTCAACATTTCAGGCTTTAACATTGTCATTCAAATGTTTGGGATCTAGTTTTCTCTATTTGTTTCTTTTTAGATGCAACAAAAAATATATGACAACACAATCGTATTTGCAACAGTATTATTATCAGTATATTTTACAGTGTACATTGCAAAAATAAATTATTAGTTGACTTTACTTAAAATAAGCGAGGAAACCTGTTGCTTTAAAAATGATTAGTTGACTACTTAAAAACGTGAGTAGACCTGTTGCTTTAAAAATAATTAGTTGACTTTAGAGCAAACCTGTTGCCTTTAAATTTTAAAGTAAATAAACTATGCGCATAATTATACAAATTAAGTTAAATCAACTTAACAGTTCCAAGTTGCAATGGGTTTACTGACTTTTTCAAGTAAAATCAACTTGTAATTTGTAAAGGCAACAAGTTCACGCCCTTTTTAAAGTAAAAAAATCCCTATTTACAATGTAGATATACGGCAAGTCAGCGTCAAGTTATCTCCTTTTCCTGTTGCGCTTAGTAGATTCAAAATTCAAATTTAATACAACCTACATAAAGGCGATTTAAGAATTTTTATCTTTCTAAATAAATGAACTTTTTCAGCAAGGAAACATTAAAACTGGTTAAAAGTGACATTAAGAGACTCATTTTATTTTTGTTTCAAAATGATTTGACTTTTAAAAAATACTAAACTTAGACTAGACTTGTCATGGCATTCATATATAGCTGCTCTCTGGTGATTTGAAGCGCTTCTTTTGTCCTCATTTTTATGTTGCTTTGGCTAAAAGCATGTGGTAAATGAATTTATAAATGTACTTAAAATTGCGTACTTTTAAAAAAAAAACATTTCCATGAAACTATTGCAGCACAACAGCTTTTTTTTTGCATTAACAAATCTTTTTTCAGCACCAAGTTAACATTTTACAATGATTTCTGAAGGCTGGAGTAATGATACTGAGAATTCTGCTGTGCAGTCACAGAAATAAATGAAATTTAACAATATATTTAAACAGAAAATTGTTATTTTAAATTGAAATAATGTTCCAGATTGTATTTTTAGACAATAATAAACAATTCCAAAGCATTAAATATGGTGAATCTTTGAGTGATAGTGTGTATGAGTTATCAAAATATCAGCTGCTCCAGATTTTGAAATAATATTCTAGATTTTACTGTATTTCTAGACATTAATAAACCATTCCAAAGCATTAAAATGATGAACCATTAAGAGGTAAAGTATATTAGTCAGTACTATTAGTCTGCTTTAGGTTTTTAATTAATATTCAAGATTGTACTATATTTTAAGACATTAATAAACCATTCTAAAGCATTAAAAAGATCAACTATTGAGCAGTAAAGTATATGAGCATTATTATTTATCAAAACATCAACCTCTCCAGATTTTATTACAATATTCCAGATTTTACTGTATTTCTAGACATTAATAACCCTTTCCAAAGCATTCAAAATTATGAACTATTAAGCAGTAGAGTATATAAGTTAGTACTATTAGTCAAAATATCAACTGCTCCAGATTTGAATACAATATTCAAACATTTTCTGTATTTTTAGACATTAATAAACTATTCTAAAGCATTAAAAATGATGACCCATTAAGCAGTAGAGTACACAAGTATTATTATTTATCAAAACATCAACTTCTCCAGATTTTAATACAATATTCTTAATTTTACTGTATTTATAGGCATTAATAAACCATAGCGAAGCGAAGCATTAACAACAATGACCCTTTGAGCTGTAGTGTATATGAGTCCTATTTATCAAAATATCAGCTGCTCCAGATTAGTATAGCAATAAAAAAGCATGAAGTCCAAAGCTTTCTTTCATATTATCTGATTCATAATTCATAAACACCACCCAACAAAAGTCATTATCAGACCGTAACACTGTCCAATATACACACAGTCTCTACTACAAACTTAACAGTTGATTTTTGTGAATGAGTTTCATTCATTCATTCATTCCTTTTCTTTCAGCTTAGTAGAGGTGGAATGAACCACCAACTATTTCAGCATATTGTAACGAACTGAAGAAGCCAGGAAGCATTTAACAGTATAACTTGTCTTTTTAATCAGCTTTTACACGTTCAGACAGAGTAATCCTTGTGTTCACCTCCGAACCCACACTGTTCACTCACAGAGTCATATACCGGTTTCATCCAATCGGAAAACCCCTCCTTCCTTATCGAGTGCGCGGACTCGCTTTTTCCCCAAAATCTTGCTCCTTACAACCCCGCATTGCAAATACAGATACACCCCAAAATAGAACACAGGAACTGTATTAAACCTTTTCAAACATGCTACAATATGTTTTACACAGCGGATGTCCTTCCAGCCACAACCCAGTTCTGGGAAGCACCCACATACACTCATTCACATGCACCCTCAAACACTATAGAGAATGTAGCTTACCCAATTCACCTATAGCGCATGTCTTTGGCCTGTGGAGGAAACTGGAGCACACTGAGGAAACCCACATGAACATGCAAACTCCACACAGAAATGCCAACTAGCCCAGCCAGGACTCGATCCAGCGACCGTCTTGCTGTGAGGCGACAGTGCTAACCACTGAGCCACCGTGCCATCCTAAATGAGTTTCACTGGAGAGAAGAAGTCCAAAAAGGCTCTTTATACTTTGCCGTTGTGGTTGGACAGACAGGAAGCTGCGATCTCACGAAACAGGATGTACA